CGCCGCTTCTCGGACTTTCTGTAACTTTACATTCAGAGCGTTTTGCACGTCGTCTCCCGATCAGCGATCACGTAACAGTCAAATGAGAAGCTCCGTAGGTTTGTTGGCAGACAGTCGGGCACGCGCTGCGTGTGAGTCACTTCCTCCTCCTGTGTGTATAAATAGACGTGTTTAATGTGAGGCGTTTTTTACATGAACCTGACCAGTCTGTGCGTCCGTGCAGGAGAAGCTGTTTTCTCTCAGACGCCGACCTCTTTCCCACACGTCTGTGCCGACTCAGCGGGTTTCAGATCAAATGACACTCTGGATGCATTTCGTCAGTTGGTTGATGCAGCAGACAAACAGCTGCTCTCAGAGCTGCACGTTTGTTCCTCCAACGGCTCTTTTCGCTTCATTTCAGCATATTCGGAGAGTAACTGAACTTTGACCTCCTTAATTTAGTGACAGATAAACCTAAATGCAAATGAAGTGAATCAGGACGCAGGCCTGGCTCAGAGTAAAACCATCCTGCAGCATCCGGCCTGCAGGTGAGCAGCGCAGCAGTCTTCATTATTAATTGAAGTTAAAGCAGAGCGTGCAGCGGCCCCGGGGCCCGGACCCCCGGAGTCCCTCTGTTTCAATGACAGCAGCTCATTAAAGGCAGATGCATGTGTTCAGCTGGGTCAGATAAAAGTCATTACCAGTTTTACTAACGATTTACTACCAGTCAAACATTGTAATCTCATTACATCACCTTACAAACAAAATATCATAATATTGCAAAACTTAAGGTATGATAATACTATTACATAAGCTTACAGTCAATTCTTCAGACACAATCTAACTCAAACTGGGAGTTAAATGGATTATTGATTAGTTGATCAGCTGATACAAATAGGATTATCTACAGGTTTTTGTGATTATTGCACCTTCTGACAAGATCTGGAGCTTTTCTTTGTCCCACATACAATAAAACAAATCAAATGTCTTGGATTTTAAAGATATCTGAAGATGTGAGAGATTATTTTTATTCATTTACTTTAAAGGATTCATAAATGTTTTTAAATAGCTAAAAAATGAAAATGTCACGGCGCAGCCTTAATGCAAACCCATCCTGCTGCAGGTTTTCATCCTTGGGCTCTGTTACAGCAGCTTTGCATGATTCTCAGTATGAAATAAGCCTCGTGTATCTTAGTCTGGGCCTTTGTGCAGCCTGAAACGAGCTGTTTTAGCTCCTCCCACTTTGACACCATCAGCGGGCCTCTGCAGCACGGCTTTACCCCGGGGACACAGAACAGGTTAATCCAGCTGTGGAGACTCTGTGAAGCTGCAATTATCTTTTCATAGGTCATAAATCTGTGAGCTCTGCTCAAATCTGCACGTTGTTTTAATAAAAGTGCTCTTCTGAGAAATTCAGTTTTTCCAAGAACGCTTTTTACTTCCTGCATTTAAATGGAATTTTTTTAATTGTTTAGATCAAAAAATGTCAGAAAATTCTGAAGCTGTGCGTCAGATACCCAGAGCCCCCCGACAGTGTTTGGTCTTGCTCAAACAGCAGTCAATGAAACACCCCCAGTGGGCTCAAAGCAGTAAACAAACAGCAGTTTGTCCCTGTTGACTTCAGAGAGTTGTCCTTTGCTCCACAGCTGAGCAGACGTGGCCTGCATAAAGAAATAATTCTAACGTCAGTAATCAGCAGAGAAATTTCATGATGATGGCCCACGAGTGAAAATGTTAACCCCGCTCACCTTTAGCGTCTCTCACAGGTCACTCACTCAGCTGACCTGATTTCCTCAGATATAGCTTTGAGGGTTGTACCTGTGAATGACCTTTGACCTCCAGTTTTAGCC